ATTAAAAAGAACATTCCTTGTACTGAACTGCAGGTAAAAATATCAAAAAAAAGAAATTTTTCCAATCTTAAAAAAACCTACAATGAAAAAAAACTGTATATTTTTCCTTCAAAAGAAAGAATTTTTTACATTAAAATTGACTTTTTTTTGAAATTGATTTTCTGTAGTTTTTTTTAATAAAAATACTAAAATTTTTAGCGGTGTAAGATATTTTTTTTTATGTCATTTTTTGCCCTTGTAGGTACAGCATTTGAGATAAATAAAAACATTTTAACTGGTTTTATAGAACATTAAAATAGAAATGTGTATAAACCTAATAAAATTAAAAAACAGCATAAAAGCACACAAATTCCTTAACGTTTGACACGTTATTGAAATATTTGATGCAAACACAGACGTATCCGTTAGTTGTTCTTTTTTAAAGGAAAATTACTTCCCGTGAATCCATATCATAAAAAGTAAAATTTGACATCAGTATTTGTCTACATATTTTTTTTTTCAGTTTTCCTTTAAAACAGATTTTATGAAAGCGTTTTGTCCGTTTTTTCCGATAAAAAAAGCGAAAATTTTATTTATATATCAGTAAATTTTTAAAAATTAATTCTTTCCCGAATACCCGATTTCATCCATTACTTTTAATATAAACAAAAACTGAACATATCTTTAATATGGAAAATCTCCTTGCAATTACATTTGTAATTGAGATTTATACTACAAATGCAAATCACTTCTCACTGTCAGTCTTTTTCCTTTGTCTTTTAAAATGTTTGATCACAAGCCGCTTTTTTTCGAAATCTTTCTTTTCTAGTAGTGTTCTCTGCAAGAATTTATAATAAAAAAAATTTTTTTTATACAGAAAAACATTTGTTTTTAAATATGCGTAAAAAGGCATTTTTATGTTACTCAAAACTAAACCTAAAAGATTTTTATACCTTTAAGGGGAAGGGCCCCCGTTTGCTAGTGTTGAGAAAACTTGTGAATAAAACCCTTTTGTCAATTATTTTTACCTTTTTGATTATTCTGTTTTTTACATGATGTATATTTTTTCTTTTTTGCAAAAAATTTTTTTTAAAAAAAAAAAAAATTTTTTGTACATGTATATAATTAAACAATCGGGGTTTTTTACAATTATTTGGTCGAAACTTAAAACCTTAAAATTGGACCCTTTTTTGGGTCCCAAATATTTTGTACTAAAAAATTTGAGTTTCTCAAACAGTTAATATTTTTTTAAAAAAAATGAGAAAAAAAAAAACTTTTGAAAAATTAATCAAATTATTGAAAATAAATTTAAAATTTAAAATTTTAGGATTCATTTTGAAAACCAACCCTTGGAAAACTTGTCCCTTTCCCAAGTTTTCGGGCCCTAAATACGGGGGCCTTTATCTTTTAAACCGCATCTTGGTCAGCTGTAAATTTGGTAAAATTTGCTGATTTCAAATAGACAGAAAAACATTTTTATCTGGTTGGAAAATCAAATCTAAAACAGGGGTGCCGATAATCCCTTTGGGAAAAATAGGACTGTTTTTATAAAAAGAAATGAAAAAAATTGCATGTGTTTTAAAATTTTTTAAATAAAGAAACATTTTTGCAAATCGCTTTAAAATAATCCCTGAAAAACCCTTTTATTTTCTGAACCCAAGCTTTGAAAAAAGGGGATAAGGGGAAAACATTTTTTTTAAAAAAAAAAGGGGCGGGAACAACAACAAATTTTAAACAAAATTTATTGTATACCCATAGAAACAGTTTTTAAGAAAAATTATGTTTTAAATTTTAATTAATAAAATTTGTCATGTAAAATTTTAAAGAAATAACTGCAGGCTTGGGAAAACTATTTTTAACGTTTTTTCCCTAAAAATAAATTTCAACCGACGAAATACCGAATGTTGTCGTTAAACCTTTTGCCAAAAAAATTAACCCATAAAATTTTAAAAAATTAAAATTTAAAACAAAGTCCCGATAAGCAGTTTTTTAAAAAATTTTTTAATATAAAAATGAAGAGCTGGGAAATTTTTTTAAAAAAATTATTAATGTTAATAAAAAAAACAAAAATAAAGGTTTGTTAAAGGTTTTTTCCCCTATCCCTGCGGGAAAAACGAATGTTTTCAAAATCCCATATTTTGGGTTTTAAATTTTAAACCTATTTGGGGGCCCTTGTGTTTTTCTCCCCTGAATTTTTTTTTGTTCCCTATAAAAAAAAATTCCCAATTTTTCAAAATATGCCTCCTTACTCAAGAATCTGAAACTTGCTTTCAAAAAATTTAAATAAATATCCCCTATTTATGTTTATATATTTCATCTAAATTGGTCTCATTCCACAAAAAAAAATTTCCCATGTATCTTAAAAAAAAATTTTTAAAATTTCATAAAAATTCTAAAAAGAGTTTGGTTTAAAAATAAAAAATTGCGTCAAAAATGCGTTTTTTTGGTAAAAAGGGAAATTCATAAAAAAAAAAAAATTGTTTAAAATTTTAAAAACAGTATTCTCTTAAAACTGCCCAAAGGCTTCCTTTTAAAAGGGTTGTTTTTTTATCAAAAACCCCAAGAAGAATGCAACAAAAGGCCATCGCTGAAGAAAAGCCCAAGAAAAAGGAAATTTGAAACGGGTTTTTGGATTTCAAAAAAAGAAAAACTTTAGTGTTTTTTATAAACGGTTTAAGAAGTAAAAATTAAAAATATATTATAAATAAATGAAACCTTTGAAAAAAAATTAAACTTTTGGGGTTAAATTTAAGGTTTTTTTTTTCTGGAAAAGTTGTGTTTAAAAATTTTTAAAGTGAAAATACCCCTATAAAATGCAATTTTGCACGTTCACTCTGGGTTCAAAAAAGATGTTTTTGGTTTAAAAAATAACAAAAACACATCTTTGCTTTTTGTTGTTGTTGTTGTTTTTCTTGTTTGGTTTTGTTTACTCTTTTACGCCGAGTTAGACGAATTTTTGTCTCGACTGTCCTTACAAGCTTTCCTGAATAGTATACCGGAAATTACAATTTAATATACAACCTACTGTTGTCAAACACAAGTTTTATGTATACAGACTTGACTACACGACATTCGTGTCCGTCGCAGACAGGTTATCAAAATATAATGCTGTGTATTTGAAAAGGCGAAACATTGCACTGTTGAAATTGAATGGTAGATGTTAACTTTAAATGGAAACAACTGGGGAAAAACGTTAAAAAATATTTATTGTAAAGTTAACAATAATTCAACTAACTTGTCTTTTAAGAGCTTTCAGACAATCATACATTAAAATGTGAATGTTTACCTGTTTCGCATTTATGTCCTTCATATCCAAAGATACACCCGTCTATGCAGCTGCCATCAACTCTCTTACATTTTTGGTTTAAACATGTTGCACTGCAGTTATGTTTACAATTGTTACCGTAACTTCCTTCTTTACAACCTATGAGACAGTAAACATTTTGTTTGTTATATGTATTATAATTGCAGTTTTACAAATAGTCGTTTCACATTTTACAGCGTATATACAAACAATATAAGGGCCTTCGTTGTCGCTGATTTCAAACCAACGACCCAAAAACACTAAGGGTTCGAATGCTCCAGGAACTTTCATTCCTTCACGTTAGGAAGCTTACTAGCTAGCTATCTATAGAGAGGACTATTTCATTTTTCTACATTGTCGGCTATCTTGATATCGGTGACCTAATCAGGTGCCCGTTTGTGACTGATATAATTAACGGATGGACATCTTAGCCTTCCTACCCAACTTAAGCTGGAATGTCACTACATGACCTTTACCAAATATCGGTGTAACCTAAAACAAAATCTAAAAACAAACAGTACAACCTTTATCACAATATTCATCTTCTCTTTTGCAAGTACCAACATAACAGTTTTTGTTACAAGGTGTATCACATCGCCCATCATAGACTCTGTTACTCGTGCAGCCATCTTTACAGTTTCCCGTGTAATGCTCACATGTGCCATTGACACAGTTACTTGAACATGGTTCACTACACTGACTCTTCCAGAACCGTTCTCCGTCACATCCTAAAAGACAAGTCCCATTCAAAGAGTTGCACACTCTTCCATAAGTACCAGATGGTTTGATACAGTTTGAATTGCAAACGGATGAACATGTTTCTCCCCAATGGGTAGCAGTACACCCATTTACACATTGACAAGATTGATTACATTGTTGTAGTAAACATCCATCTTGACATTGTATTTCACAAGTTGGTCCACAATAGCTTGGAAATTTACAATCAAAACACATTCCTTTAAGAAAAAAGAAATACATATATATATATATATGCAATCATTAGCAAAACATATTCAAGTAAATTGAATATCAAATAGTTAACCGAAACCGAGAGAACACGTTTCATTTTCGTAGTATATTAAGGTAATGCTTCGTTGCTGAATAGTTTCACAAACTTCTCCAAAGTTGTTGCTGTCTTCTTAAAATATCATCACAAGAAAACATGGATGTTAACGTTTAATTAGCGTTGTACATGTCTCTGAAAATGTTCCTTGCTATTTTAAAGTGGTATAAGCAAAGATCTAAAACATTTACTTTGCTTATATCAAAATATTAAAAGAAACGTGCCCATATTAAATGCTTATCAAACGTATAAATTTATTTAAATATTTTATATTGTCATTTATTAGTTAATGGTCTTTGATTTTCAATATATGTGCATGATATGGTCTGTTACACGAATTTATCTATCGTTAAGACTTGTTGTGTTACTTTAAACATTATATGATTTAAGCGGGTAAAACAAGAGTTAACATCTCGAAAGTTTCTTTGTCATCATCAATCAAACACAATTCTTTCTCATTTTCTTTGCCGAAATTTCGTATGTCAAATGATCTACTCCCGTTTCCATAAGCATGATAATTTGACAAAAAATGTTTTTATTAAGAAAATGTGTATCCTACTGTGTTTCATACGATTTCACGTAATAGAAATGTATATAATGTGTATAATCATAGCGTTATTTTCATCAACTGCCAAATTTTAAAATTAACTATTCTACTGGTTTCAATTTAATTCAACACGATTCAACATATTGGGAATGTTAATAGTTTTGAGACTTAACGATTAACTACTAAATATGTGTGGTCGCAACAGTACCTCACATTTAAAATTAAATATTTTTAATAACGACATGTCTTTCTAAATTGAATATTAAGTGTATTAAAGTGGTTTTAGTCGTATTATACAGTGGATATAACTACCACAAGTTACAATGACCGGTGAGATTTATAGGCAGTATCATGTTGATTGTTCTCTGCGATTAACAAATGCTATAAATATCAAGAACTTTTGTTTATAAACAAAACATTAACTACTTCCTATTGCAAATAAGCATATTAGTTACCAGTTTTCCTGTGACACTCATCTTTACAGGTATTACTGCAGCGACGTCCACAAGTGATACCATACCGTCCTTGTCTACAACCATGATTACAATAACCATCATTTTGTCTACATACCGGCTCGCCTTGTTTATAAACACACCAGAAATTACAAGATAGGCATTTTCCATCTGACAGAAAGAAGTTCTGGATACATTTGTTGCATTCAATTACGCTGTAACATAAAATATTATTTTTATTCTAACAAATAATATATGTTATGCATTTTCGTTTGAGATGGTAAATCGTCAACTAAATTTGCATTTTCTATACAGTCATGTAATAACTAAAGTCACATTTTTCAAAGAATGGTTTCTATGCACAGGTCAATAAAATGTATGTATTATGTTATAATATGGACAATATAATAAATTAAAGTTACAAGTATATAGGTTTTCAAATCTGGTATGGTATAAAATAAAATGAAAAAATTCTATGAGACTAAAAACTTACATATCACCATCTCTTGCACTACATTGTTCACAGTTTGCATCTACATCAGAACATCTTCCTGTGCAGTTTAAGCCATAAAAACCACTTTTACATCCAAATAAACACTGCTCTGTAGTTTCATTACATATCTCCACGCCTCTTTCATCTGATAAACAATTCTCTGGACATAGAATTGAGCAGTTTGGTCCTGCAAACCCTTCTTTGCAGCCTTGTAAACATTCCCAAGATATATGGTCACATGTCCTAGTTTCATTATCTGTCGGGTGTAAACATGAATCTGGGCATTTATATGTGCAATTTGGTCCAGCGAACCCAACGTTACAGCCATATAAACATGCACCAGTAGTTGTGTTGCACGTCTCCGCTGTTTCAATGGACCTTGAACGCATAAAGTGTTGCAGGTAATATTTTCTGCTTTCTGTTTTTATGTCTGAAAATGTATAAACTGTATTTAAAATGCTTATTTATCACCATGTTTTGTATGTAGATGTGAATGAGGCGAAAATAAATCAACACTATTTTTGAACTGATATGATCCCTGATATCATTATTTCCTGTTTTCATTTTAAATGTTGAAATTAATAAAAATGCTTCATTTACATAGTTATATGTAACATGCAGTCGTTTCGCAAAATTTAAACAATTATCATGAAAATACTTCACAGTTGTATATAAAAAAACTATTCTCTTTGATAAACATAATAATACGATTATATTTTTTCAACATGGTCAATTTAGAAATACCATGTTATCAATAAGATTTTTAAAAAACAACAATTTGATAAAAAAAATAGATTTATTTTAAATGTAAATTACATTACTACTTACGTCTTAACAGAATAACTGAAAGTCCTAGTGCCAAAATCATTGTTGAATAATGTTCTGCCTTTTCGTCAATCGTTCAAGTCCTACATCTAAATATTTCATATATATATATAAATAGTAAAATATAGAAAACACTCCGGTATAGCGGTATAGCATTACCTTAACTCACGATTTACGCATGACGTTTAGGATCAAACCAGGTAGTTTAGAAAATATCAAATGTCTTTTTTCAAAAGTAAATCTTTCTTTTGATTAAAACACAGCATATATAAATCTACCCGCAAAACACAAATTTGTATTTTAATATGTAAGAGATCATTTCTTTTATCATTTTTTAAAATTTAGTGAGCAGTTGTGCGTGAAAATGTACTCCCTATTCAACGAATCAACAGTGGATAATCTATTATAACAACTTAAATCAGTGCCTTTATGTAGGACATCTTTTTAAACTTACATGTAAATAAAAACATGATCTTCAAAGATATATAAACAAGAATTATAAAACATTTTAACCATCCATTTTTTTTCTTAAACGCTTGGACCGAGATTCGAAAACCCGTAGTTGTCACATCTTAAGCTAGGAACTTACAACCGTGTAAAGGGATGCATATATAGTAAAGTAAAATTCAACAAGAAAACTTACACCATTATTTCCTTTAGCACGGTTCCGAAGCAGTTGTACAAGTATTTAATAAAACACACATTTTATCCTCTCTCCTCTATCCGCTTGATTACTTTTTTATTTTCCTCTCGCTCTTCAAAAATTACTCCAAAACAATGGTCATGTATACTGACGTACATTTTATTATCACAGTTGAAAAAAGGCAAAAATGACACAAAGGAAACTAAGTTACAACTCGGGTTTATAATACTTTAAATTAAAATGAAATTGAATACCCTTCTTTGTTTAAACTGAATAGACGATAGCCCCTCTTATCATTTGCATATATATCGTGTATAATTTATACCTGACGTAACATACAATTATGCACTTAGTCGATGCCTGTTAAAGGTTTGTTTCGTAAAGTTTTGAAACTTATATCTACTGTGTTCTGTAAGGGCCATCATTTATGAATAACGCAAAATGTCGAATACACGAAAGGACATAGACGAAGGGACAAAGATAAAAACTTGATAAAGGACACGAAACCACGTATACGCAACAGAACGATGACACAAAACGCGAGAAATTAATGTCCATAATTTTTGCACTTTCGTCTTTGTTCCTTCTTGTTTTCGCGTTTAAGACTTCGTCTCTTCGTGTTTTCACGGTTGCGTTTTTTCACTTTCTTTTCATATTTTTTCAGATTTCGTTACGTATATGCAGAGCAGCAGATTTGCTTAACAATTGGGCAAGGCTATGCTTACATTTTTTTAAAAATAAAACTCTTATAAATGTGATCCTTGTTTATTGTTAAATTTTGAGTATACTAGTAAAGGGCTGGTGTGCACAACTGTACAACGATCAAAACATTAAACACTTCACTTGACTATGAATTTACCTGAAATTATTGACTGGGTTATTTCGTAGAAATACATGTATATACATGTATGTCATACAAGAACAAAAATACAAAGACTCCTAAAATATAAACCCAGATTAGTTTAATTGTTTAATATATATCTTTGAAATAGTGTTTCAATTTTAAATCGTATTATATCCTAAAAAGACAGGCACTTAAGTTGTTGAAAATGATGTGCCATTTTTGTAATAAGAAACAGGTTATTCTGTTTTACTGGCATGCGTATAAGTTAATGCCTTATTATAGATATATTTCTAGAAAATAATAAAACAGTAAGTTCACTCGGGACTTCTACGCTATCAATAAAGTTTTAAAATGTCTTCTCACAGAAACTATCTAGTACTCCAGCCTATTGGAAATTGTCTTATATTTACTCACAAATATGCATGTTTTAAATGTTTTAGCTGATAGCTATTTTGTTCTGGTTTCATATTCAAAGCTTTAGGCATTTAAATGTCAATTCGGTAATGTTTCTCCTAAGATTACTAATTGAGTATTTTAGTAGATTGAATATGGTGTGTTTTGATGTAAATTTGAAGTAATCGTTTTGCGATAAAAGAGGAGCAAAACTGTTTCAGCATAATGGAAACAATTTAACGAACTGAAATGACTGTCAAACACCCTGGTCATTATTCTTAAGATGAAGAGACGCCTGATGAATCATTGTTATGTGATCATTTGTTCGTATCCAATAATCGGAGAGTTTTTCTGTGTTCGGAATATTTCAATACAGGATAAAAGCTTGCAGGCACTTTGATATGCACTTACACATTTAATGCACTAGGACGTCAAAAATGAGTCTCCACATTTTGTGAAAACTTAAAAATATTAGAACCCCATCAGTATCGATACGAACAACGTGACCCTTTTGTTAAAAACTTTGGTAATATCGTATATAGTTGCTTGTATTTCTGACTTTGTTATTGTTATTTAATAAAACTGTTGGCACCGAGCAAATAACGCACACATTATTATCAAATCAAAAGTTCGAAAGTACTGACTTTGGTAAAATCGTATTTTCTTACTGATTTGCCGATAGGCTGAAGCTAATCTTCCCTTAACTACCCAGTACTTGTGTCAAATGTAAGAAAAAGAAACATTGTTGTGATTATGGTTGCTTTGATTCCCATGGTCTCTGTGTTGTTTTTACCATAAGCCCGTCTTTCCTCTTTAACTATATACGATTTTAGGCACCGCACCAAGAACGAACACATGTGTTAGGTGTTTGTATTTCTGACTTAATTTCATCGTTATTTAATAAAACTAATGGCACTGAGCAAATAACGCACACATTCTTATCAAATCAAAAGTTATGTTAAGTATGAGACATGATTAAATAATGAAAAACAAAATTATAATATCGATAAAATCATATTAAATTTAAAACATGCAATAATATATTGTTACATTTTAAACTAAATCAGTCTGCATGTCTATTGCATGCAGTTAATAATCGTTCGAATTTTAAACAAAGAAATTTCTTAAAAACCTGTAAGAAGGAATTATGTTTGCACGTTTGGCGCTTGTGGAAACCAAATTGTTCTTAACATTTTAAAGTATCTAATGCAGATTTAGAACTGGTGTTGCTCTAGGCAATTATCTGGGCATAATACAGTTGGTTTTACTAATGTTAATGGAAGTATATATTCAGTTACCATGTGGTCAAATGCGGTTTTATAATTGGTACATTTTGTAATAATTTCTGGGCTGAATTATGTCCTGTTGTCATTGATAAATTATTGATATAAGTAAAAGGACACCTAGCACTAAAATGCTTCTTTCTAAATCTATTCTATTTTCTTTTATGTGCAATGAATAGGTTGCAATGAGTAAAAATAAGTTCTTGCTATATTAAGCGGTTGTTATACACTTCGCCTACGATATTGCACTGAATTAATAATTTTACGATAAAAAACCACATTAAATTCTTTATGTAGGTTTATATGTATACAAGAAATGCCTTGCCCTCTTTATAAAGTGATTTAAAGCTAACAAAATGTTCTAACTTTTGACATTTATATCTAGCTCTGCTGTAATAAGCTCTCATTCAGTAAAGCTACTAGTTCTAATGTTATATATTTAATTGTTAGTTTTCGTTTCACAAAAATGGTATTGTAACGATACAGTCACATCTAATAAAAACAGGTCGATACTTGAATAAAATATTCCGACATTCCTGATTATTATAAATATAATCCAGGCTTTTAGATCATTCAATACTTTTTAAATCTGAAAATGTACAATCAGCTACTAAACGGCGGACGGCAGATATATAGCAAATCGATCGTCAACTGCCCCTAGCACCGATCAAATAGAAATTTTAAAGAAGATTACAGTAAACATGGTAAAAACATGATGTTATTACAAGTATATAACTTGGGCTTTAATATGATAAATATTCAAAACCAAAATGTGTTGTACCAATTGCCAGTTGGTCAGGTAAGTCCAATAGCGATCAGAAAGCCAGAGATGGCTTATTCTATCCACAGTCCAGGTAAAATTTCGCCGCGAATATTGATAGCCAACATATTTAGTTTAAAGACATTTTTTTTTCATTGTCGATCCAAGAATCATGTGACATAAATAGTCGGTTACTTATGAAATAAATTTGGTATTCACTTGTTACTTATCCAGGAAAGTCGGTTTGGTGGATCCTCCGCTGTGATAAGACAGACTGAGTACAAGTATTAAAATTGACATACAAACAATCAAACAGGATTATTTTTATATCTAACAATAAACAATGGTAATATTTCATTCTAGAGTTCATGTTTATTGCCCTTTGACACCTCTTATTTTCTATGATTACATTCAGGTTCAATTTTATTCCAATCGATTTGATGTATATTACTTGTGTACGAGTACATTGCTAATATTGCCAACCTTTTTTAGGATAATTCTCAAATAGGTTCTTACCCTCGTCACAGTCCTAGCAAAGAAAGTAAAGTATTGCCATCGGAATCGGAACGGCTCGAAGGGTGTTATATAATTGCATTCATTACATGTTTAATAGATTTTTGCAACGGCCATTGACATTGACTATATCGACAAATAAGCACTCTATGAAAACCTGGGATTAGGAATTGGTCCTTAGACATACGATATAAATCAAGTAGTTTATTTCTGTATCTTTATCCTTTTTATCAGTATTTGTATTATCTCTCACATGAAGCAAGATATACTCCTCTGTATGTCTGTCTTCACTTTCATTCAACAGACAACATTAGTTTCACTTTGATGTTACAAAATAGAGACTCTAGGCACCAGGAACGAAGTAATCTGCGTAGTTTGTCTGCAATGTCTTTTTCTATGACACTCTAAGCTAACAGATATTTTGACATTTGGTAATTTGAATATATAACCTAAAGCAATCCCTACTATAATAATTTATCATACATCGATAGATATGTGTTTTGTAGCAAGATCAAATCATTAAATTATTAACTTCAAAGACAGCGAGTTCATGAGATCTCAGTAGCATAAATTTTTAGAGAATGAGAGTATCATATACCCCTAACAATCTGTGAAATCAGGAACAAGCTAATGTGATTTTAAAAGCAACCTGATAATTTAGTAATGTAACTGAATACATATAATTATATACAATTTAAATAAAAAAAAATCAAAAGAAAATTTTTATGCTTTGCAAACTATACGTCGGCATCTGAGGTAAAAATAACATAAGCAATGCGACATTCAATATATTCGCATCTAGCAATGTTTATTGATAGGCAGTGGTCAAACGGTTTTACCAAAAAAGTAACGGGAACAGGATGGCAACCATCATATGGTGATCAGAAGTCACGGTAGAAACTAACTGTCTACGGACCAAAAATTATTGTTAGTTACAACAAAACAACGGAGCCTTTATGCAGCTAATTTGCACCGACTATATTCAAAACACAATCTGGTAAATTATGATATATAAATGTAAAAAATGACAGTTTGTCTCGCCTTTGATAAACGTTCTAATAAAGAAGTGTGTTGAAGATGTACCTCCCAACTTAAGAGGTATTCCCTTGTACTGTACTACAGATCAAGAATCAGTACAAACTACACTTTCCAGTCTTAAGAAAACCGACAATGAAAAAAATTAATAATGTTCTCTCTAAAATAGGAATATTTCTACATTCACTTCTTTATGCATTGTGTTTTTTTCTATGTTTAATTCAATTAAAGACTTTATTTATATGTATCTAAAGCTTATCGGCTTTAATTGGGCATTTTCTTCATGTCATTAAGTAGCATGTACTTCACATTGGATCCATATCATAAAAAGTAACTAATTGTGCAAATACATGTATAATGTCTACATACATTTATAATATTACCTTTTGCATTATTAGCATCTATTATGCATAACTAGTCTACATTTTCAATAAGAAGCGTAAATTATTACTTTAAACATCATCACATAGGTATTTGAATAAATTTGTTCCGCACATGCGAGCTCATTTATTACATTTCAATACAGGCAAAAGCTGAAAATATATTTTCACATGGACAAATTTTACCACAGTTTTGTGGTAAAGATTAAGATTTGTATATTACAATTGCAACATCACTTCATCGCAGCCAGTCTGTTATCTTTTTCTTGTTTAATGTTTGATCACAAGCCGCTGTTTTCGTAATCAACCTGTTCTCTAGTAGTGTTCTCTGCAAGAGTATTAGAATAAGAAAATATTCTTTGATAGTAAAATATCTTGTTTGTAAATATGCGTAGAAAGAGTTTGTTACTGTTACTTTAAACTGAAACCAGTACAAGTCTTTAGTTTCATCTTTAAGGGAAGACCCGTTGCTAATGTTGAGAGAACTTGTGGGTCAACCCTTTTGCCAATTATGTTATACCATTGTATTGTAACTGTCTTTACATGTATGTATATGTTTCTTATTTTGGCAATTAAATATGTTCAAATAAAAAATCAATAAATATTTGTACATGTATATAATTAAAAAATCAATTGCTTACAATTATTCGCCCGAAACTTACACCCGTTAATTGGACTCCTCTTGGTACAATGATTTTGTACTGAAACAAATTGAGATCTCAAAACAGTTACATATTTCTTGTGAACATTAGAAAAGTAAGCTGTTGTAAATATGATCTTATAATTGATATTTAGATATTCATCTTGATAATCAATTAAGAACGTGTACCTGTCCCAAGTCTCAGGACCTCATACTTTGCCTTATCATCATCCTCATCTTGACCATGCTGTAAATTTGTGTATACTTGCTGATTTCTATAGACAATAAAACAAATATTCGTTGTGGGAATTTATCTACACATGATGACAGCATAAATGCATTGAAAGGAATAGGAAATGTTTTTATGAACAAATGACAATATTGCATGTGTTTAGTCTATATTTCTAATGAGTACATGTTTGCAAATCGCTATAGAGATATGCTGTTAAACCTTTATTTTCTGTATACCAAGCTTTGAATAACGGATAAGTGATACATTGTTTATTTAAAAAAAGGGCTGACAACAACATGCAATAAAAACGAAATATTGTATATCATAGATATACAGTTTTAAGATATGATAAATTTAATTAACATAACTTTTATGAAGCCCGAAATTCGGACAAATATTGATATACAATGTCATGTAGACATTAGAAATAACTGCAGGCATTAGAAAACTATCTTTAACGTTATTTCTAAAAATGACTTCAACCGACGTATACGAATGTTGTCGTTGACGTTGCCAAAAATAATTACCCATAAAATGTTGAAAATTATAATTAAAACAATAGATACCGATAAGCAGATTTTATAATATTTATATAATATCAAGAGCTAGGAAATCTTTAAAAATTAATAATGTCAATGAAAAATAGAATAAAGGATGCTAAATGTTGTTTCATCATGCATGCAGGTCCACGAATGATATCATGTACCATATATTGGTTTATTTTACCTTATTTGGGCTTGTGTATCCTCTTCTGCATTGGTTTTGTTCCCTATCAACATACAATTCAAAATCTCAAAATATGCATCCTTTCTCAAGAATCTGAAATTTGCTATGTCAACATTTTAAACATTTCTTCTATATATACATGTATATATTTCAACTAACCTGCATGAAGTCATTAAGCCCCATTACACAATACAAAGTTACCATGTATGTAAAAAGATATAAAATTTGAAAAATCTAAACGAGCTGCTTGAAATAACAATGCGTCGAAATGTTGTATTTTGTTTGAAGGAAAAACATAAAAAGTATTAAATTGAATACAATTGAAAACATTACTTTTAGACTTTCTCAGTCTTCTTCTTACTGTTGTTATTGTCACAAACGCCAGAAGAATGACACACAAGGTCCATCCGCTGATAGCAAGCCCAAGTAAGGATTTGTCAACCGTTTTTGTTTCTAAAAGAAATATTCTAGTGAAGGTTTATAAACGGATAAGTAAGATCACATAAAAGTCAATTATAAATTAATGAAAACTATGACAGAAATATGATAGTTTGTTTATTTCAGGAAAGTTTTCTGGTAAGATTTTTTTTTACTTTGAGAGGTCATATTTCTATAAAGGTCTATCTGAAAGCTTCATTCGTCGTTCAAACAGATCTTTTCTTTGTTCTTTTACATTTTTACGCCGAGTTAAACCCATTTTTGTCTAAGCAATCAATCCACCTAACAAGCTTTCTTGAATAGTTTTCTGGACATTATAATTTAATCTACAACCTACTGTTGTCAAACACAAGTTTTATGTATACAGACTTGACTAAACAACATTTATGTCCGTGGCAGACAGGTTATGAAAATATGATGCTGTGTATTTGAAAAGGCACTGTTGAAATTGAATGGAAGATTTTATCTTTAACTGAAAACAACTGGGAAACTAGAAACGTGTCGTCACGCCACGGATGCATCCGCATGCAGCCAAAATTTCAGATATTATAATATTTAGTTCCAAATTTGTTTGCACATATTATTTTTGTTCATTTTAAGTTCAAAGCCCTTAAAACTTTTCAATTTTAACGCAAGTCATTTTTTAACAAAGGTCAAGGCAGTGAAACTATTCAGTGTTACCCTTTTTTAAATTGCATTTTGCATATTTGTAGCCAAATTAATGTCTACATACATTTCAACAAAAATATGAGTGCTGAAACTGAAAATTCAATTTTTTTCCAACATTCAAGGGAGATAACTTTGTCCAAAATCATTGAACCACGACAAAATTCAAACTTGAACTGCTTATTCCTAAGATGTATCTATATCATGATATGTCAAATTTGAGTTGAATTACGGTGTACATCCATTTGGGAGATAATAAACTGAAACTTAAAATTTCTGATTTTTTTTTCAAAGTTCGCGAGGGATAACTCTGTCAGCCATCATCAAACCATGACCAAATTGGAAATTGACCAATGCATTCTCATGACATATCTATATTTTTAATTTGAGTTGAATATGTACAACTGTTGGGGAGCGAATGAATGGGAACTGAAAAATTCTTTTTTCAAAGTGAAAGGTACATAACTCTGCCAAAACTCATCGAACCATGACCAAATTAATATTTGATCTGCGTATTTCTTTGACATATCCATATGTCAAATTTGAGTTGAATATGTAACACTGTTGGGGAGATAATGAACTGAAACTGAAAATTTCATATTATTTTCATAGTAAAAGGGGCATAACTCTGCCAAAAATTATCAAACCATGACTAAATTCGAACTTGACTTGAATTTTCTCATGACATATCCATATATTAAATTTGAGTTGAATGTGTGCAACCGTTACTAAGATAATGAACTGAAACTGATGATGACGGAATGACAGAATGAAGGAATGACGAAAGGACGGAATGACGGAAGGACGGAATGACGGAACAGGGTAACACTATATGCCCCAGCCATTATATGGCGGAGGCATAAAAACGTTTAAAACATTTATTGTAAAGTATACATTTATTCAACTAAATTGTCTTTTAAGAGCTTTCAGAAAATCATACATTAAAAGGTAAAGGTTGTACCTGTTTCGCAATTCTGTCCTTCATATCCAACGATACATCCGTCAGTGCAGCTGCCATCATCTCTATTGCATTTTTGGTTTAAACATGTCTCACTGCAATTATGTTCACAATTGTTACCGTAACTTCCTTCTTTACAGCCTATATAAGTAATCATTATGTTTGTTACATGTAATATCATTGCAATTTTTACTGAAAATCATTTCACATAATCGCAAACAAGCATACATTAAAATGTAATATTTTACCTCTTTCGCAATTCTGTCCTTCAAATCCAGTGATACATCCGTCAGTGCAGCTGCCATCAAATCTATTGCATTTTTTGTTTAAACATGTTGCACTACAGTTGTTTCCACAATTGTTACCGTAACTTCCTTCTTTACAACCTATGAGGAGTATTCATTATGTTTGTTTCATGTATCATCATTGCTGTTTTTACAGATAATCATTTCACATAATTGCAAACAATCATACATTAAAATGTAATATTTTACCTCTTTCGCATTTCTGTCCTTCAAATCCAGAGATACATCCGTCTGTGCAGCTGCCTTCAACTCTATTGCATTTCTGATTTAAGCATGTTGAACTGCAGTTATTTGCACAATTGTTACCGTAAATTCCTTCTTTACAACCTATGAGGAGTAACCATTAGTTTGTTACATGTTTTATCATTACAGTTTTTTACAGATAATCATTTCACAATTTAAAGCGTATATACAAACAATAGAAGGAGTGGTTATAGTCGCTGACTTTGAACCACCAGCCACAAAACGCTAAGGTTCCGAATCCGCCAGGGACTTTGGTAACTACATGTAAGGAAGCTCTTCAGCTAGTTTTAGGGTCATCGGTATGTTTTCACAGATGCCCACTAGTGCCTGAAATACTGTATGTGTAGAAATATTCGCGGGCTTCAAATTTTCGCGATCTTCGCGTTGACATTCGATCCGCGAATTCATGTTTAGCGCGAATATTTCTACACCAACAATTTCTTAATAGTCATATTTTCGCGCTTCTGTAGAACAATATATATCAGTGTGTGATATGCTTTCACATTTTTTTTTAAATCTTTACTGAGTAATTGTGTTTTGTTTTCCAAGTTATTCATCATTTCAAATCGTTTATGTTTGTGTTTTTTAATTGTTTGTTCAGAAAAACTAAAACATGATCTAATTAGATGTCAAGACGTTTATGACGCAAACTGTGAAAAATTATGCACGTAACGGGCATTCTTTTGTTTGCTATAATCTGTCCATTAGACAATGTCTTTTTTCTGTACATGTACAATAGAGTATTGTTTGACACCTGGTATTGAAAATAACAGTGAACTCCCACGATGATTACAGTAATTTTCCATTTTTTAACCTGAGTGGTCTATGCGAATTCATGATTTTTGGCAGTCAACTCCGCGAATTCAAAATAGCGCGAATATTTGTATAGACCCCCAAAGTGGACCTTTCCGCGAAAATTTGCTTCCGCGAATTTAAATACACATACAGTACACAGATTGGTATCTTAGCCTTCCTTCCCACTTTTGCGGGACTTTTGCTATGACTTTTACCAAATTTTGATATGACTTTAAACTAAACCAAAAACAGTAAAACCTTGATCACAATATCCGTCTTCTCTTTTGCAAGTACCAGCATTACAGTTTTTGTTACACGGCGTATCACATCGCCCGCCATAGACTCTGTTACTCGTGCAGCCATATTTACAATGCCCGGAGTAATGCTTACATATGCCGTTGATACAGTTACTAGAACATGGCTCACTACACTGACTTTTCCAGAATCGTTCTCCGACACATCCTAAATAGCATGTCCCATTCAAAGCGTTGCACACTCTTTCCTTAGTACTAAATGGTTTGATACAGTTTGAATTGCATACGATCGAACATGTTTCTCCCCAATGGGTAGTAGTACACCCATGAACGCATTGACAAGATTGATTACATTGTTGAAGTAAACAACCATCTTGACATTGTATTTCACAAGTTGGCCCACAATAGCTTGAAAATTTACAATCAAAACACATTCCTATAAGAAAAGAGAAATATATGTATGTAATAATTAGCAAAACATATTTAAGTAAATTGAATATCAAATGGTAAATCGAAATAGAGAGTATGTTTCGTTTTCGTACCATATTTAGATAATGCTTCGTTGCTGATTAGTTTAATAAAGTTGTTGCTGTCTGGTTAAAATGACATCACAGACAACATGGATGTCAACGTTTAATTAGCATTGTACATGTCTCTGTAAATTTTCCTTGCTATTAAAAAGTGGTGGTAAAAGAGCGAAGATCTAAATCATCAAATATTTATAGAAATGTGCCCATATTAAATGCTATTGTTTAAACTATTTATATATTTTATAAGGTCATTAATTAAATAATCATTTATGGTCTTTGATTTTCAATATATATGAATTATATGGTCTGTTATACGAATTTATCCATCGTTCATACTTGTTATGTAACAATTATTTAAACATCAATACGACTTAAGCGTGATAAGTTGACAAAAATGTTTTATTAAGAAAAGGTGTATCTACTATGTTTCATACAATTTCATGTAATAGAAATGTATAAAATAATGTGTATAAGCATAGCATTATTTTTATCAACTGCCAAATTAAAAGATAAAGTATTCTACTGGTTTCAATTCAATTCAACACGATTCAACCGGATCTGGAATATTAATTGTTTTGGAATTAACGATTAACTACTAAATATGTCCGGTCGCAACAGAACCTCGCATTGAAAAAAGTTTACAATAACAATAAAATATTTTTAATAACGCATGTCTTTCTAAATTAAATTTTGAGTGTATTAAAGTAGTTTTAGCTATATTATACAATGGATATAACTACCACAAGTTACTCTTTTCAATGAATGACCAGTGAGATTTATAGACAGTATCATGTTAATTGTTGTCTGCGATTAACAAATGCTATACATATCAAGAAAATTATAAACAAAGTATTAAATACTTCCTTTTCTGTAAATTATGTAACAGAAAGAGCACCGAAACACGAGGCTATCTGATTTGTACGAGGGGGCGTAGCACCCGAGTATTTATCAGATTGCCAAGTGTTTTGGTGTTCTTTCTCTTTTGTATCATAGTCAAACATAAAAAAACGTTCCCTGTTGTCACAATATGAAACCCCGGGAAAAAGTAACCAATGAACGAGCATCATATTTTGTCGCGTTTCCTTTCTCTGCCGTCACAATAAGTGAACCCAAGCAACAATGAAACAATAAATGGGCGTGCTCAGGAGTGCGGGTAACTAATACCTGCACTCCAGTTAACGCACTGTGCATGTATATGTAAACGATTTAACTCTTACACATTTTCAACAGAAAGGTCTCCAAACTATGATACAATTACCAGTTTCCCTGTGACACTCATCATTACACGTAGAACTGCAGCGACGTCCACATGTGATACCATACCGTTCTGTTTTACAACCATGATTACAATAGCCATCCTTTTGTCTACAAAGCGGCTCACCACTTGTAGGTGAAAAAGCACACCAGTAGTTACATGATAGACATCTCCCCGCTGGCAGATAGAAGTTCCTTACACATCTATTGCATTCAATTCCGCTACAACATATAACATTACTTTTAATTTCAATTAGTAATCTAAGTCATGAGGTTCCTCGGCAACTCAAATCTATGCTTGATAAATCAGTCAAGCATGTATTGGGTATATGTATGAAAGTGTATGTTGATAGATTTTACCATTTTATTTGATGTGATAGAATGCTATGATAAAATTTCTATAAGACAAAAAACTTACACATCACCCTTTCTTTCACTACATTGTTCACAGTATTCATCTACATCAGAACACCTTCTTGTGCAGTTTGAGCCATAAAACCCATCTTTACATCCAAATAAACACTGCTCTGTAGTTTCATTACATATATCCGTGTCTGTTCCATCTGATAAACAATTCTCTGGACATAAAATTGAGCAGTTTGGTCCTGCAAAGCCTTCTTCACAGCCATGTAAACATTCCCCAGATATATGGTCACATGGCCCAGTTTCATTATCTGTTGGGTGTAAACATGAATCTGGGCATCTATATGAGCAATTTGGTCCAGCGAAACCAACGGTACAGCCATATAAACATTCACCAGTAGTTGTGTTACACGTCTCTGTTGTATTATCGGGACCACGTTTGCATGAAGTGTTGCACGTAATATTTTCGCCTCTCGTTATGACTGAAACTGTAAGGTATTCAAAATACAAGTGCGTATTTATCATAAACAATTATGTATATATTTCACTTGATATGAATTGGGATAGATAAATCAAAACAATTCAACTAAATGTGAATTAGTACAAACGAATCAAAACAATTTAAACTAGATGTGAATTTGTACAAATGAATTAAAATAACTTAAGCTGAAATCATCCTGGTTATCATTTTTCATTTACACAATGTAAATATTGAGTGCTTCTTTTACACACATATTCCCCAAACGGCACGAGTTTTTTGTCACAATGATTATATCGAAAATACTACAAAAAAGACTCTCATAGTCAGTTTGAAAACCAAAAAACTGTGTTTATTTAAAGCTGCGTGCATCCATATGAGCCAAAATATTATATAATAAGACAAACTAAGTTGAGAAGAATATACGTACTTATATATTAAGAAAAGTAAAAAGAGTCAAGTAATAATTGACATGCTATATGCGTTGAATGAATGATTTTGCAGTCTTCATCACCGTATTTGTATTGCATGACTAAAATAACAAGGAATATGTTTACATATTCTGACCAATTTCTGGTATTTTTCGTAGATTTTAAGTGCCGTTTTGCAATAACTGTCTTTGTGAACTTGAAAAGATTTACCTTTTTTATAAACAGTTCATGAAAATTAGTAGGAATCTGGTGACGTGCTGCTTTAAAGAAATCTTCATTCTAGTCATAAAATAGATAAGCCTTTAATCTAATCTTTTAATTATCTATTAACAACTTTATCATAATAGTATTTATACATATATGTACATGTATTATGTAGTTCTACTTACGTCCTAAAAGAACAACTGAAAGTCCTAGTGAATCAATCATTGTTGATGATGTTTTGTTCTGTTCTGTATCAATCGTCCAAATCGCACACTATCCTTAAAAAATACTCTTATGTCGAGATATATATAATAAAATACCCAAACATTTTTAGTACAATAATACCTAGCCTGATGAATAATGCATTGTTTAAAACATTTGTAATAAAACCAGGAAGTTTGAAAGGTGTGCAAATACATGTTTAATTTTTTGAAGAAGTTAGTATTTCAAAAGAAATATTTTCCTTCTTAAAAGAAACGGTGTAATTATAAAGATGTACCCGCAAATTTATTTTTTATTATTTTTATGATAATTGTTTTAACATTTTCTTAATAATAAGTAAACACTTGCGCGTAAAAGACATAATCCTTTATTCGCGAATCAACAAACAACTCTTCTAACATATTAAACTAGTTCCAATGTATAGGACATCTTATAGACTTAAATCAAAACCATGATCATTAAAGATATATAAACAACTTGTTTGAAATATAAAATATTGTGACCGTCTAAATCTTTCCAAATGTTTTTACCGAGTTTGAACCCCGGACATGCCACATCCTAAGCGAGAAATCATTTTGTACCACAGGCTGCAAATACAGTTATATGGAAAAAGTAATTAGAAAACAAATATGATTCTTAACTGAAGTCCTTAGTTTTATTAAGAAAATCAGGGTTGCCTGTTTCGAGACTCCAGGACCTTAGACTTAGACTTAGATGACATCAAGTTCAGTCTGAGTTTTTACCAGATGCTCCAAAAATGTTAAATAGCCGCAACGTTGTTTTGACCAGCTTTGTGGTCTTATTACTCAGAATGGTTACGTTCAAAACTATTAAAAGTTTACAGTATAGTTAATATTTTTATTTTCCGTATCCTTATGCACATTATTATAGACTTTTCTTAAAAATCAGTTTAATACACTTTCCCCTCCAAAATAATGATTATTAGTTGTGACGCATACTTTATTTTCTCAGTTTGAAAGAGACAATGTAATAACTCAGTTTCAATAACTTGAAGAAATTTGACAGCCGTCTCTTTTAATTGAATAGAAGACAATCGCCCCCCCCCCCCCCTTCCCCCGCCTTCCAATCATAATATAACATAACTTTTATTCGGCATTAAAATTGTAACAACAAAATCGATTTTACATTAAACAGAGCAAATGTGAGACACGTGATTTCTTGACCTAGAAATATGTACATGTATATCTAACTATCTTGATAGCAAAATAATTGTGCATAAATGTACTGGCGGGGCGAGAACTCTGGAAGTGTGGATAGACTATTTTTGTGTGAGTTGTTTCCCTTCCCTTGCAAAAAAATATTATCCCGCTAATACCAGTATAATACGGGCACACACATACATGCTGCGATTGTAGAGACCTGTAAATGTTATATAATGAAGTGATATCTTATATTATTGAATAGTATAAAAGGGTATAAATCTATATCTTTTTAAATATTTTTTTTATATTTATATTAAAAATTTATTAATAGTAAAATTATATTGGTTCCATTATTATATGGTTAATTCCCGAACAAGTTGTAACATAAAATGTCTCCGATATTTAATACACATGAATAATATACGTAAACAGAATAAAATGTTCCAGACCAAAATATTATTTGGCCATTTTAAGAAGGGTTTTATCCGTTTAGCAATGAATGTGTGCGTGCACCACTCGCTTTAAGTCAATTAATCACCATTTCAATTTCATACAAACATTTTGGAAACATTCTTTTTTAAAATCCAAACAATAATTTTTGCATCAGATATATTGCTTTATACACTTTAAAGAGACCCCACTGAGGATTTTGACATGACGGGACTGGAAATATTTTTTCGAGATAAATGTTACATCTGATATTAATCTAGTCCAATGGCAAGATCATTCGCTCACTCGGTTTTTCTTCCTTTTTCAGAAAATTAAACTTATTGTGAATAATAACCCAAAATTAAAAAAGCATTTCATCATTTTCAACCAAATTGGGCTAGGCATAACAGACAAAGTACGATATTCAATTAATTTCTGAGTAAATTTTTGATTATCTTCCCCCAAACTTTTAGTTTATAGTGCCCAACTATTTTCCTTTTTGGGCCCAGGGAAAATCCTTTTAAAAATTTAACCGTAGGAAAACCATAATTTTAAAAAAGAAGGAAATACTACCCCTTTTTCCAAAAAGTTTGATACATTTTCAGAAAGCTGATCGGCCCCCCCATTTTTTTTATAGAATATTTGCTACAAGGATAATTTTTATTTTTAAAGGATTTTACCAAAAACAAAAAATGGCAGATTTATTTAGATAAAGAAGAAAAAAGATAGCAAGGTCCCTTCACTTCTTTTGTACACCATTTGTACAAAATGATTTTTTGTTTACTTTAACAAATCTCCTTTTACTTTATTTTCAATTGATTGTTTCATTCATTCATTCATTCATTCATTCATTCATTCATTCATTCATTCATTCATTCATTCATTCATTCATCATTCATTCATCATTCATTCATTCATTAAAGATCCTGTAGTACAATTTATTATGGTTTTATATCATAAATATGATGTTCAAATGAAAAGTTATCCAAAAAGCATTATTTGTATGATATTACCGAATTTACATTGCATGTAAATAAAGGGAGGTAATTAAAAATTTATTTTCGATAAAGTCTAAGCAAAATTTTTGAATAGGAAATGAATGCATATTATCGTAATAATAGTTAATCAAACAAACAAATATATATTTTAATGGTCACTGATAATGCGTATAAACATTTGCAGTACATATTTAACATATTCTTTGATGTTTGGAAGTTGTTTTAAAAAATAATTATAATTATATATCAACTTATGCGTTGTTAGATCCTTAATTACAAGATACAGGATCTTTAAGCCGGTGCTAGGGGGTGGGGACAGTAACTTGCACGTTCCATTACTGTCCATGAAGAGGCTCAATCAAACCGAGCCTGCAACATTTTAATTTTTATCGTATTGGGCTTTCTTTAGGGATTCTGTTTACTCTATTTAAATGTAGGTTATTAATACAGCAGATCTCTTTTTGTCATTTTTTTATGCAATTAACAATCATCATAATCAAGTTACTGTTATTAACTTATTACTATAAATCAGTATGATACTGCACAAGAAGTTAAGAATGTCCAGTTAATGCCAGTTTAATCTATCGCCAGTCTTTTAATAATTACTAATAGCATTGGATGAGACGTAAACGTAAGCGAAATTATGTACAACCGTGTGCACAAAATACCTTCACGTTCATACGAGGAGCATATTTTAATAAGTGGCAACGGCAGCGCGTTTTATAAATAAATGTTAGTCATACCTTCAGAATATTCACCATGGACCTTTACACACTTTTTCAGCCTCAGAATCCATTTCAAAAAAACATTTTTGAACTGTTCTTTGGGTATATTGTTGATACACTGGTACAGGGCGCTTCCGACGACATTTTGGGTTTCGAACCGGTGATCGTGAAGGCAAGATTTTATGTATGAATTTAACCAAAAGTCACAAGGAGACAGGTCAGGACGAAAAGCTGGATGTAGCAAAACCTCAATTCTTTGCTCCTCTAAATAAGCTTAAACCAAGGCTGACCGGTGCACAGGTGCATTATCATGAAGTAATTTGATCCTGGGCACTCCGGACCTTGCGATCTTTATTATGAATGATTAACTACAGCAGTGAGAACATGGTCCCGGTAAAATGTTCCAGTGTCACTACCACTCTTAGGCTCAGTGACTATTTCATCAGTGTCAAAAAATATAGCGTGCATGACTCTTTGAACGCTCCTGCTACGTTGAACAACAACGGGACGATCGCTGTTTTCACCTTCCCACATATCGTTACTGATTTTGTTGTCGGGCTCAAAAAAGCCACGTTTCGTCCCTTGTGAAAATTTATCTCAGTCGTCTAGGGTCTCGATCTTTGAACCTAGTCAATAAGGCTGAGTCTTTCAACCCGTTCCATTTTCTGGTCAGAACTTAGCCAATGCGGGATCCAATGGTCGCACATTCTCTTTTACTTTAACTTTTCTTTCAAAATAGAAAACACATATGAAGCATAAGCCCCGATATGTCACTTATCTCCTCCGTGGTATATCTTACATCTTCATCAACTATGGTTTTGACAGTGTTGATGTCTTTTTCAGAGGTAGCGGAAATTGGATGCCAGGGGCGGGGGTCGTCTTTAAACATTGACATTCACCTGGCAATTGTACCACATGGAAGGACATTTTCTCCATAAAATTAATCTATATCCGTTTTTATGTCTGAAGCACATTTGCCCAATAATCCACGAATTTTGCAATAAACTCTTTTTCTCCTTTCTAAAATCACAATGCAACTCAGCCATATTTACAACCAGTATACAATATACTAGTAATAGACAAGATCAACAAGGAAAGGCGCCGTTCAATGAACGCAACCCCCACATAAACTACATTTATTTTACATTTTATTGCACGTGCAAATCGTGCGGTTAAAAAAAAACGGTATAATTTCATTATGAATGTACCTCCACGTGCAAAGCATTGTTTAATTGAGTTATTGTCAGTAATTAAAATACATTGTATGCCTGTCGTATGCATACGCTTATAACACTAATATACCAATACAAATAGTCGAAGTACGCGCAGCTTCAACAGTCAAATAAAGGTTTAAAATTTTAAAAGCTTTAAAGAGGATCATACTTATAACGAATATTTCAAAAATTAGAGCAATCGGATTATATTTCTTTATTCAAAAATTTAGAACAGCAAAATCATAAACTTCCAGTAGAAGTTGGAAGATATGATGGTACTCCTTACAATGAAAGTTTTTGTACATTTGTAGCGACAATCAAACTGGTACCAAGCAGCATTACTTGTTACATCGTACTTTTTTCGGGCGACAAAGAGAGTATTTTGCATGTAGAATGCTTGTAACCTGAATAAAGGAGCCCTTATTTTGAAATTATTTGTCATAAATGTAGCACAATGTAAATAATTAGTATGTAGATTTCCGTACAAAATACTGCATCACTTTAAT